GATTCACACCAAACACAGATTAAATTTTATGAATTTGTGACAGTCAGAGGTGTGCATGTGAGACAGAAAGGGAATTAACATGGTCCTGACCCTTGGGCAGGAACAGTCCTTGCAGAGGGATGTTTGGCTGCACCCAAAGTTGGACTCTGTTTCATAGTTAAAACCACTGCACAGTCTCAGGGTGCTGTGGCTGGAGGCTTCATTCCCAGCTGCTTTGGATGCGGGAGCTTGGGTTTAGCTTGTGTCAAAAAGAAAGGCCTCAGCTCCAAAAACAAAACAGAACACAAAACAACATATAGAGCAGGACCTATACCTGTAGTCCAACAACTGTGGGACACTGAGTTAGGGTGATCACATGATCAAGTCCATCCTGGGCAAATTAGTTGCTAAGCAAGATCCTTTCTTAAAAAGAGGGTGGGTGTGGTGGTGCACAGCTGTAATCCTAGCTCTCGGAGGCCAAGGAACTAAGATTATGAGTTTTTAACCAGCTTGGGCTACATAGTGAGTTCAAAGGCAGCGGGATGTACTCAGTGAGACCCTGTCTCAAGGAAGTAAATAAAGGGTTGGGGATGTAGCTCAGTGCAAAAACTCTGTTCAATTGCTAATTCTGGAAAAGAAATCCACTCAGACATCTACACATCTCTGTAGATCTGTGTACACGGAGGCAGCAAGTAAGCCCCACTCTATTGTGTTACTCTAGGAGATAATTTTTTCTGTTGCTGTTGTTTGTTTTTGTTTGTTTTTGTGGTGCTTGGAATGGAACCTAGGTCTCGCACATGCTAATCAGCCTTCCACACTGAGCTGTGTACCCTCATCTGAATTATTGGGAGAATTTCTTTGCTCTTAGAAGCAGAAAAGCATGAAAAACCTTGCAGCTTTGAATTGTCTAAAGAAATGTTTTGAAACACAGGAAAATGAACACAAAATTGATATCATGCTGAAGACCTGGGTGTGGGAGACTCGAGACTTTAGTGTCTAAGAAGGCACCTAAGATGTTGGGCCCTAATTCCTGTTCGTTCCATTGCTCATCTCCCTGGCCCCAGTTTTCCAGCAGCATAGCTTGGAAGATGGAAATATGCTTTCTCTACCCCTTTTTCTTTGTTTCACTTTGGTTTTTGTTTTTTATGTATTATTATTGTTGTTATTATTGAGACAAGTCTCACTTTGTAGTGCAGACTGGCTTTGAACTCACTAAGTATCCCAGGTTAGATGCGGAATGCAAAGCAGTCATCCTGCCTCAGCCCCCTGATTGCTGAGATTGGTTGTGCCACCATGGTCGTCTCACTTTGCTTTTAAAATTTTTTTTCTCCTAGCCGGGCGTGGTGGCGCATGCTTGTAATCCCAGCACTTGGGAGGCTGAGGCAGGAGGATGGTTGTTAGTT